ATATCTGCACCCTTTCAGACCTGTAACGGGGTAAGACAAGGTAGATGTTGTCCCTGATTTTGTTTAATTTTTATATGAATGGTCTCTCTGAGGAGCTAAATATGTGTAAAACAGGATGTATGGTTGGAGGTATAATAGTGAATCACTTAATGTATGCAGATGATCTGGCGATCTTTAGTCCCAGTTCAGCAGCTCCTGAATCTATGTTCTCTGTTTGGGGAGCTTCACGGTGTCAAGTACAATTCTGCTAAAAGTGTTATTATGATATACTGCACAAAAGAAGACAGGTCCCTTGCATTCCCTTCTTTTAAGTTATCTGGTAACATTTTAACTGTATGTAATGAAGTTAAGTACTTGGGTCATGTTATAAATGATTGCTTGTCTGATGACGGGGATATGTAAGCAAGCAAATGTGTTGGTTCGGAAATTTGGTTCATCCTCGGATGGAGTAAAATTGACTTTGTTTAGAGCTTATTGTACCTCCCTGTACACTGCTCATCAATGGTCTAATTATAAAAAAAGGCAGTCTTAGGAAACTGACAGTGGCCTATAATGATGCCTTGAGGTTAGTATTGAAAAGGCGTAGATGGATGAGTGCCAGTGAATTGTTTGTGTCATCTCCGATCAGTACACTATCTGCTGCTTTAAGAAATTTGATGTATAAATTTATTTGTCATTTGAATAGTTCTGGACACAACATTGTTTTATTGCTGACTAATATTGCATATAGTGACATGCGATATACTTCAGTGCTTTGGAAACACTGGTATACCTGCCTTTTAAAAGGGTATTGTTTATTGGTTGTTCTTGTTGTTGTCTTTTTTATTGTTATTTATTGCTGATTGTTCTGTGGTATTATTGTTTTTTTAGTATTTATACATCTGGACCTTGAGTTTGTAATAAAGTGTCTATCTATAATTAATAATGAATTAAATGTTTTTAAAAGTAAATCCAACTTTTTATAGGTTAGCACAATTTTTTTACATAAAAAAATATTGAATAGACTTTTTTAATTATTCAAAATTAAATGTAATTTTATAGTTTTATAGTTTTTAGATTTTATAGTCTTCAGTGGGGGGGGTGTTGTGTTCCTGTGGTCAGCTAGCTCTAAGCACAAACTGCACTTCTTCATGGCTTTTTGGGGCATGGCCCAGTGCAGTATGGGTAATAAGAGTGACCAGGCTGTTAGCAGAAGATAGAAAGGGGATGGAGGAGAGGCGGAGGGTTTGTCTCGTTGCTAGGATACATGGCCGGCGCCAACAGTGGATATGATTTATAATGGCCAGTCTCACTGTCTCGCTCTTCCCCACTAGTGTCCTCCTCCTTTTCCTCCCTCTCACTTTTCCACTAAGTCTCTCCATCCTGTACCCTCATTTCTGTCCTCAGCATCTCTATGGGTCTATGAGCAAAGTCCAAGTAACTTCAGGTTATCTGGTAATAATGACAGAGCTCATTTTGGTTTATCTGTTTTTGGTCTTGTGGGTCATACAGAGACTCATCAAATACTGTATGTACAGCAATTCCTGTGACTGTGAGTGTTCATGTTCACATGATCATGGATAAATTGCACCCACATGAATAGATGATATTGATTTGCAGAGACATCATCCACCTCAGGATGTGAAAAGTCCTGAGAAAAAAATCCAGTGTGAGGAGAAGGTGGCACAGACCATTTGAGGGAAGGAGACAAAAGGGTGCAGTTTGTGCTTAGAGCTAGCTGACCACAGGAACTACATCTCTACAAGGATGTAGAGATGTGCACTGAAGATTTAGATTAAGATGTAGTTTTAAAGGCAAATTGCAATACTGTTTTGTGGTAAATGTTCAGTTAGAAAAATTGGTGAGGATTTCTCTGAGAATTTTCTCATTACAGTACTCTGACCTTAATGAACATTTCTGCCAAAAGACAGAGTAACAAAATGAGTATTTTTGCTCACTTACTTTGATAAATTACAGCAAACTGCTACATGTTTTTCCAGAACCAGTGCCCTCTAACACTGGGTAATCCTTGGTTATACTAGTTTTCCATTATTTAATTTTCAAGTTTTTATTTTTTTAATGTAGGCTATAGCTGATGCATTAGAATTGCAGTAGAAATGAAGGAGTGTGTGCTCTTAATTAAAACAGTGCTTGACTGGGTGTTTTCTTTTCCTTCTTGGGCTGGTCATGGTACTGAAGCAGCAATGGTGATTGTGTATGAGGGACATTTTTGTCTTAATTAACATGCTCTGCTGATTATGCTTGTTTAATTGCCACTGTGTAATAAAAGGGTTAATTATATGATTATGACAGTGCATGAGCTGCAAGGGCTCACACGGCCCTGATTTTGAGGTTCAGATTATTTTCTGTCAAGTGCCATGTTGTAATAACATGAGAAACATAAAACTCACCTGTTGTTGCAAATAAATTTTAGGCTGCATAGGCTATAAAAGACAGGGTTTTCTCTATACTGTTGTGTGCAGCCTTAATAGGTCATGCCCTGCTGGTTTAACATGCAGTTTTTATGGGAAAAGATGGTCCGTCCACTTTTGCACTGGCCCACCTCAAATACAATTTCTGCCTATGCCACTGCCCTCAAGCACTGGAAACTTGTAGAAGAAATCACATGCAGATGAAGCTGATAAATCACAGTTCCTGCTGTCTCCATGTGGTATCTCTAGCTTAGCATATGAAGTAGCCTACTGTAGTCAGTAGGATACATGCATAAGCTTTGCAGCAGTGCTGTAACCTTAATGCACAAATATAAATTCAGTTTTAGTGCTCATGTCACATGGCCACTCCAGATGTTTTATGTTGTTCTACAGAGCTAAAGGTGGTACTCTGGTTAGCTGAGTCATCATCAGTCTTTCTATCTATCAGACTTTTTAACTTATCCACACATATTAAATTAGATATTTGACAAAACAAGAAGTCTGTTTGCCTCTTAGTTCTGCACCCATAAGTGATCCAGGAAAACATTCTAACTAGAATATCCATATTTCTTATTCCCTCCCAGTCTGTCAAGTGACTTCCAGTAAATGGAGGATAATTTTAGAGCGATAAAGAGCCCAGAGGATACTGAGGGGAGGGAATGTGCACACATGCGCGCGCGCGCACACACACACACACACACACACACACACACACACAATAAGATGGTTCCTCATTCCCTGTTGTACCTGCTGACCCCACAGGATCCACTGAGATCGGCTACTGCTGAGTGTGCGGCTTCTACACACCCTCCAACACACATATATACATACAGCAATGCTTACGCACTTTGACTAATAGACCTAATGCTTCCTGAAGAGGGCCCAGCACTGCATTAGCTACGGATGTGGGATTGATTTAGAAACTGAAAGCCCTCTAGTGTGTGTGTGTGGGTGTGTCTATGAATTTGTTGTGCACTCGTGGTCTGTGTTTTTCCCCATTCCACTCCTTTAAGATTATGTGTTTACTCACAACTGATGCACACATATATGCAGAATGACAGGCAAAGGCACACATGGACATGATTCAACTGGTTTTGATGATTAATAATCATTATCTTTACAAATCTTTACATTAGGCCATTTCATTCCAGAAAGACAGATGTTCAGTATTTGCCCTACAACATCGTCCGAGTGGAAAAAGCCTTTAAATGAACATTTAGACCATCATCAGACACTAAAGCTCTCCTACTATTTTTAGAGTTAGCAGTAGGGCTAATTAAAGCAGTTTGACCCATTACACCAATTAATGTTTCACTCCTGTTTAAGAGTGAAACATTAGTCCCTCTAAAGCTATATTAATGCCTGACACCTGTATTAAAAAAATATATATAATAAAATAATGAATAAAATCTGTGACTGTGGTCCATCGTTACAGTGTGAAATATTTAACACGTGAAACGGTCATGGTCTTGTTTTGCTGCTGACCGTGGCTATAAACTGCCCGCTGGTAACAGATCACCATTTTGCTACGCTAACTCTTTGACTACTGTGGTGGAGCACCGGTTAGTCCCCCCTCACCAGGAGGGTGAGGGACAACTGAGGTTGGACTCAAGACTGCTGACCCAGGTGCTAGTAAAAAAGGTGGTTTTAATGGTGGGGATACAAAAGGAATAGAGTCAATGAATACATACAACAGGGCTGAGCAAAGATGGCTGAGGAGAACAGGACAACCAAGGGAGTAGACAGGGTAACAGTAGGAACCAGGAGAGGAGGAGGATCAGAACGGACAAGGGAACAGACAAGCCAACCAGGAGGGTAGGCGAGCGAAAACGGAAATCCACAGCACAGGAGCTGTCAGCGTGGACGTGTAACACTAAACATATAACCAACGTACAAAATGCGATCCACAAGCACAGGAACTGTCAGCATGGAACACAAAAGGACGTTCAATACATACCACAAAACTATGTCTGTTACGGGGTATGCGAGTTAGGTAAGGTAAGGTAAGGAAAAAAAAAAAAAAAAGTTTGTTGGTTATATGTTTAGTGTTACGAATTAGGTTAATGCTCTGGCGATGACGGAGCGTCTGCCAGAGGTATAAATAAGGAGGACAGGTAATCATCGGGATGTACCCCAGCTGTTTGCACCAACAAACAAGTCGCTAATTACTGGAATGCAACAAAGCTGAGGTGCAGAGCCCACAGGATAGAGAGAGCAGAGGAGAGAAAGGTGGAAGAGAGGCAGGTCGCGCCGAGCGGACCTGACAACCATGTTGCAACACAACATCCACAACTGCTGGCAAGATGGAACACAATGCTTTATTGCAACGGTCATAGTTTATTGTTATGCTAGGTTGTAGCAGCATCAGCTGCTGGTGTGTAGATGCACAAATGTGATAAAAAGAAAACCCGTGAACATTTTAGACCAGGGTAGGCTTGACAAGAGCAAGTACAGCATGTTGCTGGACCACTATGTAAAGTAAAAGTGTGCTAGATGTTCTTTATGACCACATAAGTCCTCAATCTGCATAAAAATCATTTCAAAGTTATAGTGTTACTTAAATGAAATTCTGTTTTTGTGTTTCCACCAACAGTGTTTCCATGCTGAGTGTCGGAGGGTACTTCCTGGCAGTTGCTGAGGCCTACACATGTCCAGTGATTGAAGCCTCATATTAGCTTCTGCTGAACTAGGACCTTGATATTTCTTACATTACGGTCACATTATTAAGGTAACACCTCTGAGTTTGATTACGGCAAGGGGAATATCCACAGTGACCAGCAACTCTTTCCTTGAGCTGTGCATGTCTGAGTGTTGCATTAAGATTCATTTTACAAAAAGCTAACTTATGCTTTAAGATATCTTTGAATGAGACATAATCATTGCGCCTATATTGGTTTGCAGTAATGTTAAACTCATGCATGTTTCTGTCAAACGCATGGAGAATGTGATTGGCAGGGGATGCTGGTAGAAAGAAAGAGAACGAAGGCAGAAGAGGAATGGGTTAAAGCATGTAGAGCGCAGAGGAGAGGGTGAGGTGGCCTGGGGGGAGGAGAAGAGAAAGAACAGAGAAACAGAAAAGCAGACGTGGAGGAG